CAGGCTGAGTCATTTCTACCTTCTCCTCTCTGTCAACGCTCTCTGGTTTCATTTAAGAGTCCATCATCAGATATTGTCTAAGATTAACCTACAACTAAACATCCTACAGAATTTTTACAGTCTTTATTTTACAGTTAAAATAAATGTTTATCAAATAAAGTCTAATGTTACAACTAATCACGAATCCCTTTAAGAGGCTCTAGCAAGAGAAAAAAACAAAATCCCTACTCCATCAAAAAAACCTTACCACCTCTTTCGTTTTTATCAACTTTATTCTCCGTGAAGCTCTCCTCTTAAAAACGGTCCATCTATCTTTGTCTCTCCCTCCACACAGAGCACTTTACGACAGGGTGGGGGAGGCTGAAGGCGACCTCAGTTTCAAAAAGGATGACATCCTTTACGTGGACGAGTCTTTACCAAAGGGGAGCTTTGGGACCTGGATGGCATGGCAGCTAGATGAGAACGCACAGCAGATCCAGAGAGGACAGATCCCCAGCAAGTACATGTGGGTGGAAAATGCTGTGCGCAGTTACACGCATGCATGAGCTTAGAGGACAAGGCTGTAAAAACACTTGTTATATCATATATGATACATTTGGCTCCTACATATACACTGTAGTGTGAAATCTTGTCCTTATTTTCTGAAGACAAAGTCTAAAGGTTGTTCAGAACTCCCCCGACTTTAACTGTTTGTCATCTCTGTGTGACACAGGATGGACCAAGAGTTTTATCGCAGACACAGTGTGACAGAAATGAAGGAAGACTCCAGTAAAACGCTCTCTGCAGCAGCCCGCAGATCCTTTTTCAGGAGGAAACAGAAACACAAACGCAGCAGCTCCAAAGACAGTAAAGAGATGGTGGCTCTGGACACCATCAGCACCGATTCCATCCCATTCTTTGATGGTAAGAAGACGACTGTTGATCTGTTTTGGGTAAGGAAGCATCAAATTCAACCTGTGTCATTCTTTCTGTTAGATTGTGTGAGCCTGGCATATCAGCGGGTCCAGAAGGTGGAGTGCGCCTCTCCTCGACCAGTACTCGTACTCGGGCCTCTCTCTGACCCGGTGAAGGAGATGCTGGTTAAAGAGTCTCCTGGGAAGTTCTGCAGATGTGTGCTTGGTGAGTCCGACTCAAGGGCATCTACTGTATATGTTTAATAATTCTGTAATAAAAATATTATTTATACAATTTTAAGTCCAATACAGGAATCCGTCAGTTTGAGGGATGACGTGATTTTGTTTTATTTATTTATTTATTTATTTTTGGATGAATGACAAGTATTTTTCACTTTTATCTGCCCCACCTGCAGAGGTGATGAAGGCCTCCCAGCAAGCCATCGAGCGCGGTGTCAAAGATTGCCTCTTTATCGACTACAAGCGCAGGAGTGGACATTTTGATGTGACCACCGTAGCTTCGATAAAAGAAATAGCAGATAAGGTATTCATCAGTTCCCTTTCTGTCTTGTCAGATTTTATCAGGAAATGGCTTCTGTCTTGTCTTTTAATCTCTACGTTTGCTCAAGATGTGTCATCATGATGGCTGCTTTTTAGTCTTAGATAACACCAAACGGAGAACACAAATTCTATTTATATCCTCAAATGTTAAAGGTTTGAAAAAGTGGATCTTTTTTTATGTTGTAATTCTTTTTCATTCAGGGCTGTCACTGTTTGCTTGACATTGCCCCACACGCCATTGAAAGACTCCACAGCGTTCACATTTATCCTATTGTCGTCTTCATTCGCTACAAAAATGCCAAGCAGATAAAGTAAGTAGCAGCATGTTTTCTGGCCCAAATTATGGGGAAATGATCGTGAGGATGTCCTGGCAGAAAGGTGCTGGTGTTTCAGACTGAATATTTTGTTTTGCTCACAGGGAGCAGAAGGATCCTATTTATCTGCGGGACAAGGTTTCTCAAAAACATTCCAAGGAGCAATTTGAAAGTGCGCAAAAAATAGAGCAAGAGTACAGCAAATTCTTCACAGGTTTGTTTGTGATCAAATTTTCTCTTCAAATAATAATAATAATAATTCCAAATAAAGTCCCTCATTTTTTAACAACTCACATTATATCTTTCCAGTAGGATTTTTGACATCTCAGCTTTCAACAAGTCACTTCTGTTTCCGCAGGTATTGTCCAAGGTGGCACCCTCCAATATATTTGCACTCAGATCATCACTATAGTTGATCAAGAACAAAGTAAAGTCCTGTGGACTCCACTTGGCTGCCCCTAGAGGAGACCGGCTGCCACTACAGCGAGCTCTGCCTCTCATCTCCATTCCCCAAAACACTAATTAACTCTTTCACACTACACCAATAGGTACACTACATTGAGCTAGTTGTGTAAATTATTGATATATATATTTTTTAATTTCGTCTTTGTTCTGATTTATATTCGGTTTCCTTTACTTTCCCATGTACTCTGGAGCAGGTTGGTAGCATTGGATATTAATGTTGTAAGTTTAATCAGTCTTCCCTGAGGATCTCTGGTGGTGTATTTGTAATGCTGCATCGTAAGCATCTGTTTACAGTCACAAGATAAGTCTGAGTATTGATGTTCAATGTTTGCTTGAATGTGTGTTCCACCCCATTTATGAAGTTCAACCCCCGCGAACCCCTCCTACCAAATATTTGTGGTTTTCCAACATATATGCATCCATTTGAAGATGACTGACAACTAATTGTGTAATTTTTCATTATATATAT